AATGTCCAGGGCAGATTCTGATTAGGAATGTAATTGGGGCCAGGCCGTCAGGAAGGTCCCCCGGGCCCAGGGACTGCCTCACAAGCTGCAGGAAAGCAGGGAGGCCACATTTGTGACACTCTCTTCCCTTGGAGCTGCGCAGCCCTTCCCAGGACCTGACTGGGGCCATCCCTCCAGATGGGAAGCATGCCCTGCAGCCAGGAGACCCCCACCCCGCTATAGTCCAGAGTGGTCCCTGGAGGCTGCTGGGGCTGGGACCCTTCAAGGAAAGGGAATCTAGGGTGGGGTGTGTGGGTGTGTGGGTGGGTCATCTTCCCTTTCTCGTGTGGGGTGGGCATTTTCCTCTCTTGTGAAGGAAGCCCTGAGCCAGAGCTTTTGTTGTTACCTGGGCGATGGGCTGCTATGCTGTAGGGAAACTCGATTCCTGGGGGTGACTCAACCAGCCGGTTGGGAGGGTGGTCCCCCCACCTGCCAGCTCTGCCTGAGCAAGGAGGTTGGGTCAGGACACCCGATGGCTTAGGGCTAGTGATGCTGACCAGAGCTCCTGAGGGTGGAATCCGAGGGCCGCCCCAGCTTACCTGAAGTCTTGTGGGGGCTGCTGGTCATGGGCGGTCAGACGAGTGGATAAAAGCCTGTTCAGACTTGTCTTAGAGTTATTGCTAACGGGACCTTGCTCTTGGGGGAGGGGGTGTCTGTGAGTATGCATTTGTGTGCCAGTGTATATGAGGTGCGAGTGTGTTGTGTGTAACTGTGAAGATGCATGTGTGTGCACAGTGGTGTGTGCTCTTTTGTGAGCATGAGTGCATATGTGGTGTGTGTGTGCTTGTGTGAAGGGGATGCTGTGGCCAGTTCGCCTGCTTTCCCGGCGGCACAGTTTCCCTTTCTAGCCCTCTCCAAGCAGAGGGCAACTTCGTACTGGACCACAGTTGTTGGTTTTTTCCTTGGGTTTTTCAGTTCCTTGACCCCAAACTGTGTATCTAAGAAGTGCCAGGAAGTAGATGTTTGGGCTTGAATTTGGAAGTCCAAACTAGGGGTGGGGATCCTTCTTTGGCTTTGCGTTCCCTGCCCTCGTCTACCCCCTTGATTAGCCAGGGCTCTGGCTACTGAGCCACCCATCCCTCAGAGAGGGCTACAGGGATCTTGTCAGTGTCCTGCCTCCTTTGTGGTGGGGTGAGGGCTGGGGTGCAGTAGCTACTTCTCAGGCTCTTCCCTTCCACGCCAGGAGAGCTTTCCTTTCTGCGCCCGAAATCTGCTCTTCTGCCATTCCCCCTGTTGCCCCCAGCTCTCCCCTCTGTCTGGGGTGATGCTGAATGAGTCTGACCCTTTTAGAGGGATACAGGAGAAGCTCTCCCAGCCCTACTAGGTCTCCTTTCTGGCTGAACACCCCAGGCGTCCCCACTGAGAAGTCCGTCACCATCCTGGTCACCTCTTGAGCTGATTGACTCTGTTCCCCAAAGGGGAGGGCCTGAGACTTCAGCACTGTGGGGAAGTTCTGCCGAGAGACAGCAGAGCTGGCTTCCTCTCCCAACAGACCCAGAACCCTCAGCTTAGCCCTGGGTCGGAGGAAACTGCCTGGTGTTTCCCAGAGTCCCACTCCTGACATGCAAACCCAGTAGCAGCCACTATGCTGTCGTGGTCTGCCTGCCTCCTCCATTACAGACACGCGATGCTCAGATTGTGCTGGGATCGCCCGGGGTGGAGGGGTACTACAGTGATAAAGATTGCTCCTCAGCCATGCCTGGCCTTCGTAGGTGACCGTGTGTTACAAGGCGTGCTCTCGATCGCCCCCGGCCCCTCCCGGTTTCTCTTATGACCTGCCCATCTTCTTTCTGACTGTTCCTTTTTGTTACATGAAGAGCCTCTTACCTACCAAGAGCTGCTGGGTCATCTTCTGCATGATCCTTATTCTTAGTGCTCCAGAGATTGTTGTGTTCTGTCCTGTAGTCATGGAGCCCCACTGGCAGTAGATTGGCTAAAAGGACGCACTTGTGCTTTGGGGGTTTTTTGGAAAAGTTTTGATGTTGAAGCAGCCTTGACATTTACTGAAGGCGATCAATGTACCCTCCTCTCTTGCTGGTTAATTTTGAGCCACACTTGGAGTGTGTAGGATATATTCCCTGATGACAAATTTCCAGGTTTTCTGTTTGACGGCATTTCATAATCTGAGCAATAGCCACTCTTCATCCACTTGGTTTTTCCTTTGTGAATGAATGGTTAGGTCACATTGGTCTGCATGGTTCTGCTCTCATCCAGGAGCCCCAGCATGGGGGTATCACCCAGCTACGAGGGCATTTTGAGGACCTCCTCATCCAAGAAGGCTCCATCTTTAACTTGGGTCCTCCCTGGGTGAGCATGCGTTTCCCTGGGTTGTTTAGCAGGGTGATTTCTGTTGGGGGTGTGTGCATGGGAGACTCTTTTGGGAGAGAGCCTTGCAGGTGCCTTTTCATTCAGCTGCCTCAGATGCTCATTTTGAATGATCAGCAAACCAAGCTGCATGGTGGCATCTCGCCTTCTCCTCTCTTCTCTCCCGTCAGTTGTGTGTTCTGAGAGGTGCCATCTCCCGTGGAATATCCCCTAGGAAGTTCTGCGCGCTCTTCCGGGGGACTGTCCTGGGCCTCAGAGGGTTCTCGTGGAATGTTGATGTGGCTTAGGTCGGCGCTTTTTGTCCTTTTTGGACACTAGGATTTTTCCCCTTAGCAGCGCCTGCTCTCACCCCCGGTCCCTCCTTCCTCGGATGCCCTGTGCACCCACACGGCCCTCAGCTCTCCTCCAAGCCTCGTTGGTCTAGCCGGGCTGCTCTGCGTCCTTGTGGGCCAAGGCCATCAGAATGTGACCCTGCAGTCCGGGTGTGGTGGCCTCACTGACAGACCTCCAGCCTGGCTTCTGCGGGTCTCAGCTAGCATCTCAGCGCCTGCCAGGAGCCCTTTCTGGGCCCCCTTCAAGGTTGGGCTGCGGTAGCCATTCTTCCTTTCCCTGGCAATCCAGGGGGGTGGTCCTTGGAGGGCTGCACCGACCAAGCTTTTAGGAAGCTCGTTTCTCTGCCTCTCTGCCTCTCTGCTCTTTGAGGATGGCTCCTGCCCTAGGCCTTTGCTGTCATTCTTCTCCATTAATCCTTCAGACGACTCCATCTCCTGCCCTTGCTCTGCCCGTTGGCCACCATCTCTTGCCGCTGGCCTGTGAACCACGTGTCTCAGGCGCTTTTGGTCAGCTACCATGAATTGCCATAGCCTGTGTCCACGTCCCTTCTGTCTTCCCGTTTTCACGATTGCCTTAACTGGGTCAAGGAGAGCGATTTCATTGCATGCCACTTCTCCCCATCTTCACTCTTTCTTCCAGCTTCGTCCTGATTTTGTTCTGCAAAGCCAGGGGTCTGGCTGTACGCAGAAACTGGAACGTGGAGCGACTCTCCTGGCAGGATCGTTTACCCTCCAGGGAGCGCTGAAGCTGAGGACCCAGGGTTGAGGGGCCCCCGCTCCTCCCAGGCCCAGTCTCTGGGAAGTGAGGCGATGGATGGACAGACGAACCAGCCGCAGCCCTGAGACTTTGGGGCTGAGGCGGCTTGTGGTGCCCTTGACTCACTGCCCACAGGGACTGTGTCTCCGGGTGTGTTGGTACCTTTCGGGCCTGGAACGTGACGGTGGCTCCAGAATGTGGCGATCCACTCACACCCCGACAGCTCTTTTAGACAAAGTGCTTCCTTGGCCACGCTTCCTCCGTGGCTCTTTGGGAAGTTGACTTTTCAAACCCAGAGTTGAGCTAAAATTCCCTTTCCTTCTGCATGTCTTCCCTTCCTTTTCCATGTTCCCTCCCCTAAAAGTGCCCACCAGATTCCGGTGGCATTCTGGTGCTGCCTCTTCTTCTGTGCCCTGGGAAGCCATCCTGAAAGCTGATGGCGTTGGCAGGCTGATGTGGGCGAGGGGAGATCAGGCCATCGTTATCCACCAACTTCAGATGCTCATGTTGTAAAGTCCCAGGCCACAGGACCTGGGAGCCCTGAGGGCAGAGCAAACATGAGTAGCAGCAGGCATGAGCTGGGCAAGTCACCTCGGGCCTCTGTGCCTCAGTTTCTCCATCTGTAAAGTGGGAGGGAGGCAATAGCACCTATACTGCAGGGTTTTTGTGGGCATCCGATAGCATAATGTGGAAGAGGCTCCCCGTAGCCCTGCGCTGTGGTCAGCCCGAAGCTCTTCCTCCTCAGGTCATCCTCCTTTTTACTGGGACAGCTTCTGCCTGGACCCCTCCCCCACAGTCATCCCTCTGCTGTGCATTAGGCACTTTGCATTTCTTCTGCACTGGCCCCTGCCCGGGAGAGAGTGGGCACCAAGGGGGAAGGTTGGCATCGCCCCCATCGTTGCCCTGGCACCTCCCAAGGTTCTGGCTGACTGACTGATGGGGGGGCCATTCAGAGACTGGTTCTCAGAGGCTGCTGCTGGGGAGTCCTTTATCCGTTCAGCAAGGCAATTAGTAAGCACTTACTGTGTTCCAGGTATTTGGGCTACAAAGCATTTTATGTAGTTACTTAAGGTTTGCAGAGTGGACCCTCAACAACCCTGGGAGATAGGCAAGGTCATTATTCTCACTTTACAGATGAGGAAACTGAGGCAGACAGGTTAAGTGACTTGCCCAGGGTCACCCGCTACTTGGCATCTGAGACAGGATTCAAGCTCAGTTATTGCACACTCCAGGTCACTGCCTAGACCAGTGCAGCGCAGTTCCTGCTCTCCTGGAGCTTACACTTCTGTGAGGTAGTGACTAGTATGAGTGTGCAGCTAAGTAAATACAATTCACTTTCCTAACAGCTGGGGGTGTGAGAGTCTGGGTCCCGCAAGAGGCGGGGGGTAGGGGGGCGTGTTCCTGGCATAGAGGCCAGCCCAAGGACAGTCCCTGCTGAGTAGAGGGTGGAGAGCAGGCCGATGCACTGGAGAAGGGAGAGGCAGGAAGCCCCTGGGAAGCGTAGGCATAGAGCTAGAAGGTTGGTGACTGTATGTGAGAAATAGGGAGAAGGAATCAGGGCACAGCTGAGCCGGGCCGCCTGGAAAGGTGGCGGCTGCCCTAGGAAGGGACAGTGGAGGCCGGGCGGCAGGTGCTGGGAGCCCGTCACGGCCCAGCAGCAGCCCTGGCCGTGTGAAGGGCGCCGTCTGTTGGGATCGTCGGACTTGGGGACGCCAGCTGAGTGACCATGGACACATGTCTTTGGTGTTCCTCTCCCGCAAAAGGAGCAGACGGGCCGAGACTTGGCTGGCTGCCTTTCTGCTTCCAGGCCTCGGAGTTTGACAAGGGGAACGGTCGTTCCATGGGCTTTCTTCCCCCAGTGTCCCCGGCTCCTTTTTCTTCCCTCCGGTCTTGCTCAGAGCCTCGGCGGTCGGCCAGGTGAGAGCACCTCGATGTCCTGGCCGTCCGTCTTCTGAGTCTGTGTGTGCAGGGAAGAGTCTGGCCCTCTCTAGCTGGGGTATCTCCACCATCCCTCCACGGGTAGCTCCAGGCCCCCTCCTTCATGAAACCTGCGCTTGTGCGGCGAGAGCCGCTCAGGCCCGTCTGTCTCCCTCGTGGGGCCTGCCCCGCATCAGTGAAGGAACGAAAAAATGAATGAGCGACTGAGTACTTGCTAAGCTCTTACTATGTTCTAAGGCCCAGGGATAGAAATACGAGAGTGGAGATGGGGGAAGAGGGGGACTGAGCGCTCTGGTTAGAAAGGAGGATTTTGGTTTGGAGAGCCCCGGGGTGGTGAGTGGAGCTGGGCAGGACTTCGACTTGCCCTTTCCAGGCCTGATTTGATTAGGGTTTGAGAACTGGATGGAGCAGGGGGTCTGCAGAAGGGCTGGTGAGGAGACCACCAGGGGCAGAGCAGAGCTGGCCTGGAGCTGACCTGGCTTGTCATTAGGACCATCTGCAGACACAGAAGAGTTAATACAAGCTAGCCATGGTGGAAGGTTTCACAGTTTGCTTAGTGCTTTCCAGATACGATCTCTTGTGGGACCCAGAACTTCTTGGCTGCCAGTGAGACCCACTGCTGCTTGGGGACGCATTTTACAGTTGAGGAATGTGAGGCAGACAGGTGAGACTTGTCCTGCATCCCACAGCTATCATTATCTGATGCCAGATTTGAACTCAGGTCTTCTTGACTCCAGCCATCTTCTCTGCCTAACTAAATCCTGGCTGGTCTCTCCTCTAGCCCCAGTTGAACTGGTGGGGAGATGGCCAGAGAGCTCAAAACTGTTTTTGTCTTTTTAAAAAATTTTTAGATAGTACAGTGTGGACACCTTGCTCTACTAACTTGTCCATCTGTCTGTCTTCTGCCTTCCTGTCTGCCTGCCTTCTACCTGCCATGCCTGTCTGTCTGCCTGCCCTGCCCTCTCTGTGTCTGCCTGTCATCTGTCTGCCCTCTTTGTGTGTTTGCCTGTCTGCCCTCTCTGTGTCTGCCTGTCTGTCTGCCTGCCCTCTCTGTGTCTGTCCTTTCTGTGTGTCTGCCCTCTCTGTATGTCTGCCTGTCTGTCTGCCTTCTACCTGCCATGTCTGTCTGTCTGCCTGCCCTGCCCTCTCTGTGTCTGCCTCTCTGCCCTCTCTGCATGTCTGCCTGTGTGTCTGCCTGCCTGCCTGTCCATTTTTAGATCCAGAAGCCCTTTGAGCTCCTTTGGCTGAGGGGAGGAGGGTTTGTGCCTGGGATCAGGGAAGGCTTTGGGTAAAACAGAGCAGGTGAGCTGACTTTTGAAGGAAGCTGGGGATTCTGGCTCTCAGGTGGGTGGGGCAGACAGAGGCGCAGAAGTGGAAGGCCTGAGACGGCATATGGGGGATGGCAAGTGGCCCAGCAGGCCTGGAGCTAATGAACTCATGAAAGGGAGCATGGTCTAATTAGTCCACAAAGTCAGGGGGGAAGTGTGGGCCCAGCTCCTAGATGGCAGAGCTGGCTCTGAGGCTCGTGTTGCCTCCTGACTCCTAATCATGGAGCCCAGGGACATGTTTTCTTTTGCAGATGTGTTCCCCACAGGACTGTCGTCCAGAGACCATATAGATTTGGAGTCAGAGGCTCCTCCATTTTACAGATGGGCAAACTGAGGTCTCAGGAAGTGAGTGGCTTGCTTGAGGTCCCACAGATTGGTGGCCCAGCTGAGGTTTGAACTTGCTGCCTCAGACTCAGATCCATCCCTTTTCCCTTCTGCACCACAGTAGGAGGGATTCTGACCCTGCCTCCCCTCTGCTCCTCCTTTCTCTACTCCATGCGTGAGGAAGGGGCCGAGGCATTGTCCCTGTCTGTCCTGGTCATTGATCTGCTTTGACTTTTCTTCCTGGGAGGACATTGAGGTGGCTGGTGGCTCCTCCTTCCCTCAGCCCCATAACTTCGTGCCTGAAAGTGAGGTGCAGAGGGGTTACCCGTCTAGATCTGAACCCAGGTCCTCCTTAATGCCCTTAGGCAGCCTCTGTCGGAGGGCCCTCCTCCCAGAGGTCTGCTGCCCCTCCCCTCTCCAGCTTTCACCATCTTCCTGCCAAGTCATCTGTGCCTTCTGCTTGGGTCATAGTGGGTGGGGTGGAGCAGGACAGGGCCTGCATTTGATCCAGTCCTTAAAAGGGAGAGGAAACGCTGGCTTTCTCCTCGGGCATTCTCTCTCTCTTCCTAGGACAGAACCGGGCAGGCCCTTTGGAAGCCAGCCCTACAAGCAGTGAGGATGCCTGGAAATGAGTCAGGTCTTTGACAACAGTAAACAAAGGGCCCCTGTTGGCCCTGGGGATTCTGGAGGGGGAGCTGGGGGCTTGAAGCAGCCTTTCATTGCTCCTCCCCCAGGACCCCCTTTAGGGGCACGAGAAGATGGGCTGTGATGCCAGGAGGCCCAAGCCCTGGAAAGAGGCCCACCTGGCCCAAGGGCAGCCCAGCAGGGTCATTCAACTTTTGTACAACCCCAGGCAGCCAGGCACTCCTTATGAGGACAGAAGCTGGGTTTTTCCTGGCTGACCTCCAGCCTATTCCCACCCATTGCTTCTTTTTCATCCCCCTGGGGCCGAGCAGGACAAGCCTTCCTTCTCTGTGGTGGTGAAATGCAAGGCTCTTTTCTCCTAGAGACAGCATTGTCTTAAGATTTCCCATGAACATTCCCCCCCCTTACCCCCATTGCATTGTGGCTGGGCAAGCATCCATCTGCCCAATCTTTCTTTCAGGTAACCTGTCACTTTGCCAAACCAAGACCAGGCTACCAAGCCACTGCTGTTCTCTCTTCTTTCCTTTGTAAAAATTCATTTTTATTTTACTAGCAGCTCTAGATTCTTTCCTTCAATCCCCTCCACCCCCCACCCCCCCAATTGAGAAGGCAAGAAGTACAAAACTCATTGCAAATATAAAGTCGTGCAAAACAAATGTCTATGTTAGCCACGTTCCAGGAGGGAAAACCCCCTCAAAACTGAAGCAGGAACGATGCTGGTTCAGTCTTCTCTGTAAGTCCATCTCTTCTCTGTCTGGAGCTGGGCAGGTCTGGGGTATGTCCTGGCAGGGAGATCCCAAGTGTTCTGTGCTGTCTGCAGTTATTTTAAAGGGAATTTTGCTTTCTGTGTTTTCCTGCTGGATGTTGCTGGTGGGAATATAGGAACATTGGTCATTCCAGTGGGTTTTTTTTATGTCCTGCACCTTTACTGGAGTTGTTTATTGTTTCGACTGGCTGGAACTCTCGGGGCTTCTCCAAGTAGCCCGTCATTATGTCATCTGCAAAGAGGGGCTATTCGGTTTGCTTGCTGCCTGTGCTTGTCCCATTCTTTCTTTTTCTTGTCTCCCTGCTATCGCCACATAATGAGCGCCCTTGCCTTACCCCTGAGCTTGGTGGCAAGGCTTCGCGTGGATCCCCATCGCAGAGATGCACACCCTTGGTTCTGGGCAGACGCTGCTGATCCCGTGAGACTCCATGCGCTCGTGTGTTTTCTAGGAACGAGTGTCGTATTTGGTCAAATGCTTTTCTGAATCTGTTGTTAGAATCGAATGGTTTTTTGTTGTTGTTGACGTGATCAGTTACGCTCATGGTGTTCCTGATACTGAAGCAGCTCTACATTGCTGATACAGGGCCAACCTGGTCACAGTCTAAGGTCTTTGGGATATAGCGCTGTAATTTCCTTGCTCTGGTATTTTATGTAAAATTTTTATGTTACTCTTCATTAGGGAAATTGGCCGGTGGTTTTCCTGCTCTGTTTTTCCTCTCCCTGGTTGAGGTCTCAAACCATCTCTGTGTCATAGAGGGAATTTGGTAGGACTCCCTCGTCTTCTGTTTTTTCCCAACAGTTGATGTGGCATTGGGATGTTTGGGCGGATTTGCTTGTCAGTCTGGCTGGTCCATTGCTGCTCTCTGTTCCTAAGAGACAGCTGGTGAAGGCCCAGAGCTCAGAGCCGGCACACTTGTGTTCACCTGGCGGGAAGATTGAGGCACGCAGATGGTCCGAGGGAGAGTGGGCTGGCCCGGGCTTTAACAAGCGCTGGGAGGCTGCGTTGGCTTGGCATACTTTCTGCTGGATTTCTGCTATGGACAAACGAGATCAATTAAGGAAGGAGGAGGATGGGAAAGGCTTCTTCGTGGAAGCCAGGAGGAGGGGATGAGGAGGGAGGGAGATGGCGTCTCATGGGCAAGGAGCAGTCAGGAGGTGGCGGGGGTCACTGGATCGCAGAGGACATGCTGGAAGGAAGCCAGGTTAGGAGGGCTTTTAAATTTGATCCTGGAGGTGATAGATAGGGAGGGGCCACTAGGATCACTGAAAGATTCATTGGATAGCTGAGTGGAAGATGCACAGCAGTGGGGAGAGACTGAGGCAGGCAGAGCCATCAGTGGGCAACTGCTGTGGTCTGGGTGCGAGGTGAGCAGGGCCAGCTCCTGAATAGGGGCATGTGGAGGAGAGAAGGGAAGGTAGAAAAACCTGGCCTCAGCCCCAGCTTGGAAGGGGGTGGGGGTGGGGCGAGAGATGGGGAGGAATCTGGGTGGGGCCTTTGTCTGAGAGAGGAGAGGGCAGGTGTGAATAAATCACACTCTGTTACTCAGGCTTTTTCTGACTTGATTTGTGGTAGTTTGTTTTCCTGTCCTTGCTCAGAGGGAGGAAGGCAATCTTCACACGTTCTCTCGTTCTCTCTCTCTCTCCCTCCCTCCCTCCCTTCCTTCCTCCCTCCCTCCTTCTCTCTCTCTCTCTCTCTCTCTCTCTCTCCCCATCCGTTTGGAGACCAGTGTGTGTAGCATTGACCTGTAGCAGGCCAGTGTAGACCACTGGGTTATTAGGAAGCCAATTGAAGGAGTACTTAGGGAGCTTCTGATTGGTGGTGGGCAGGGAGGAGTGGGGGGGATGCAGACCAGTGTCTAAAATGTAGACAGGTGTTTCCCAGTCTCCTTGAGAGAGCTCTGAGGGAGATTCAACTG